TAACAGAGGTGAAACTGTTACCGCAGAGCGGTACCGCGCTATGTTGGATATTTTTTTTATACCCGAGCTGCATCGTCACGTTGGCTACAATAACAGAACTCACTTTCAGCAGGATATGGCCACAGCACACACCGCCTGGGAGTCAATGATTAAAGTGAGAGAGCTTTTCCTGGAAAATTAATAAGTCGATCCGGCGACGTAGCTTGGCCCCCTAGATCTCCAGATCTGACCCCTTGCGACTTTTTCCTCTGGGGATATCTCAAGTCTCGCGTTTACAATAATTCTCCATCAACCATAAACGCCTTACAAGAAAATATCCGCCGCGAAGTTCAGGCCATCAGTCTAGCACTTTGCAAAAAGAGTTTTCACCAATATGAAGGAAAGACTGCAAGAATGTTTCCGACTAGAAGGACGTCATTTGAGTGGAGTAATTTTTAAGAAGTGATTTCCGCACTATCCTTTTGAAGACAATAAATAAATAATTTGGATTATGTAAATACAGAATCGGAATACGGACATCCTGTATATTGGTCTCTTGACCATTTCTACAATAACCCTGAAATTACACAATGTATGACAAGCAAAATATTCAAGAAAATTACCGAAAACCTACATGTACATGATAATGCTATTGAACTAACCAAAGATTCGTCGGATCATGACAAATTATACAAAGTGCGCCCTCTCATTGCCGAATTGAATAAGATCTATAGTGATACCAGAGGAAACTTTAGTGTTCAATCAATTGTAGAATGCATGGTAAAATTTAAAAGAAGTTCTCTAAAACAATATATGCCCAAAAAGCCCATTAAAAGGGGCTTTAAAGTTTGGGCACGCTGTGATTCTACAACTGAGTATTTATATCAATTTCAAGTTTATGCAGGAAAAGGCGAAAACGTGGAAGATGGAGGGCTTGGTTATAACGTGGTTATGCAAATTTGCGATAACTTGCCAGAAAATATTCTAGTTGCATTCGACAACTTTTTCACGAGCTGCAATTTACTTGACGATCTGTACCATATGAAAATATTTGCTGTTGAAACAGTGACAATAAACTGGAAAGATCTTCCGAACATTATGCAAAAAGCTCAACCTAAAAATCTTAACCCTTATTCGAGCCTGGGCTTTCACCATTATTTAATTATGTTGATCCATTGAATATTAGTAAGTTTATAATAAAGAATAAAAAAAATATTCGAGCAGCTCACACGCGACACAAGTAAAACCTTCAAATTAAACGAAATATAAAATACAAATACTTTACGGCAAATTATTTAAATATTATAATTTAAACTACAAGTTCGGCATAAATATAAGAAAATTCAATTTGATAGTAAACAAATGTAACAATCCTTTTAATATAAATATATATTAGACACATAGATATTATATTTCCTTTCGAGTAAAATTACCTAATTCATTCTATAGGTAGTCACTTTATCGAACAACTGATTGACACCCAAGGTGGTACGTAAAATAGACGCTAGAGATGGCTTGAATTTATGAAATCATGAAATTTAATTGAAGTTTTTTTTCAATAAGGTTAATTTTATTTGTTATTTTTTTACTGTTTACTGCCGCTGCCACGTGGCCGCCATTTCTATATGAAAATCGTAGATAACGCACGAAACTACCCACTACGGGTTTTGATAGTTCTTTTTTTTATTCAAATTAGTATTACTCGGACTCATTTATTTTATTACTTATTTTATTTAAACGACATATTTTAATCATGTTCAAAATATTTAAAGAAGTTTTCAACATTGTCAATGTACTTTTAAAAGTACGGGACAGCCACTAATTTTTACGAGTAGATTAATTCAATTCCAATCAAATTCAATTCCCTTCCAAATTTGTACTCTTTTCAATATATCTTATACTCGTATAGTACTAACTAATTACAAAAAGATTTATATCAATTTTACCTATTACGAAGTTGAGGTTTGACCGTTTTTCACTGCTTGTTTATTCTATAGGTACACGACCCCTTCGTACCTTGTTGAAAAAAACGCGTAAGCGACGCCGTTTTCGGCGTTTACGACTTTTTTCTCGCGAACATTGAGCTATAATGCTTCCTATCTCATTTTCTCCCACGTTAAATCTTATGAATTTATGTGTCTTTTTTATTGTCGCTATTTCGTTTCTTAGGCTTTTAAATCACAACGATGCTAAAGTTTTCACTTCAATAAAAAAATTAAATATTTTAGGGGGTGGAGGGAGAGGGTTGTAGTTTGGAGGGAAATTATTTCCTCTTGCCCGTTTGTAATAATATTTTGCCAACTCGGGTGGGAAGATAACTCCCTTTAACTTATTTACTTATAACTCCCTTTGCCCGACAAGGATAAAGTTTATAATGTAATAGTAAAATTGAAAATTACAAAATATAAAATTATTTACTGGTTTTGTGGTTCAGCAAGATGGAAACATTTGAAACATCTTTGTGGACATAAGGCAACTTAACATGTTGAGCAAACTATTTTAGTTCGTTTTCCTTGCTTTTTTGTGCAGGCGACATCTTTTATATGTGTTACCTTCTTCTGGCCGATGAACACCAACGCTGAAAAGCATTATTCCATCAGGAAGACCATACCTTGATCCTTTATTTTTAAATACCACAGTACGGTTTTTCTTGGTATTATAATTCATATGAGTCCACCACTAATCGAAGCCGAAAGTGTTGTAAGATACGCATTTATTATAAAGGTGCCCGCGAAAGAATTTTCAACTTTAAATTTGAATTAAGAACGCGCGCAGTTTCGGAAGCGCGGGAGAGTATGTTAATTCTATGCAACCGTCGTGCAGATTTTAGTAGCCATGGATCGTTGGTCGACCGAGCAGTGCGCGTATGCTAAAAGAGGCATTTTTTAAATATAACGATTCTCCCATTGCGGCGCGTCGGGCGTTTGCAAGACAGTTCAATATTCGGCGAATACAGAATTGTCCGAGTACGAAAATTATTGGCAGTTGGGTGCGAAGTTTTCGTGAAGAAGGACCTGTAATAAGACATGGGTCAGGTGCAACGCGAACAGTAAGAAATGATAAAACGATTGAAGCGGTTCGGGGTGACGTGACTGCAAAATCTCGTCGTTCGCTTAGAAAGCGTTCTGTATTTTTAAACTTAAAAAAAACCACTGTACCCAAAATTATCAAAAAGATTTGGAGTTTCATCCCTATAAAATTCAGTTTACTCAAAAAACTTAAACCAAGTGACCATGGATTGAGATTATCGTACGCCAGAACCATTCTCAAAAGATTTAATAGTCTACGAGCTTATGAGAACATAATATTTTCTGATAAAGCACATTTTTATTAGACATATCAGTAAATAAGCAAAACTGTCGTTATTGTGCTTTTGAAAATCCAGACGAACTGCATGAAAAGCCATTGCACTCGGAAAAGTTCCTGTTTGGTGTGGAATACGTGCAAAAGGAATAATCGGCCCTTATTTTTACGAGAACGAGAATCGCCAAACAATAACAGTAAATTCCCAAACTTATTCATCTATGCTGGAAAATTTTTAGAACAACATTTGGAGCACAGAGAGTAGGTAAACGAATTCACTTGGTTTCAGCAAGATGGTGCTACACCCACACACTTCCCGTTTGTCAATGCACATCATGAGGCGTATTTTCCCCTGGCCGCCCAAGTCACCTGACTGACAACTGCGGACTTCTTTTATGGGGATTCCTTAAATCAAAAGTTTATGTCAATAAACCGCGGAATTTATTGCAGCTGAAAAGAAATATTCGCAACGAAGTGTCAAGAATTTCGCAAGAAACTTGCCAAAGTGTTAGCAAATATGGTGTTTCGTCTAAATAAATACATTCGTCTCCGCGGAAAACATTTAACATCTTTTTTAAAATAAATTTTATTACGCAATAAAAACAATCCAAAAAACATCACAATTTTTTTATATTAAAGTAGAAACTTCTTTCACGGATCTACTTTAAATGCATCAAACATAAAAGAAAACAATCGCATCCAAAACTTTCGTGACTTCCTGTTAATCTAATAAGACGATCTAAAATGGTCAAATCTGTCGACTCCGCCCATGCTTAGGGTATAATCTGCTATGAATTTAGGCCATAAAACACGTTGCTTTGACCCACTATTTTATGTTCTTTTTACAAACAATACATCAGTCGGGTGATGGGCTGTGGTCAACACAGTAAGATCTCTGGTATCTAGCCTCTTTATAGCAGTAATAGGCTTGGCAGTTATAGAAGTAAATTGATGCTTTTGTAGTTTAAACGGGTTTATCTGTGGGATTTGAATTATGTGTTTTACTTATTAAAACGATAATTGGCAATAATAACAGTGGATAAATGTGTAATTAAACAAAGTACTAGTTCCGGGAGCGGTACAAGAAAACGGTTAAGTGATAGTGAGTTAGTACAGCTAAGTACAAGTTATAATATTGATTCCAATAAACGGGCGTACGATGAACAAGTAAATGAATCTCCAAAAAAGAAAAAGGGGTCCTGTATCCAACAATATCTTGAAGATTCAGTTCAATACAGGATTACGACACGAAATATTATGTGTAATTTGCAATGTCGAACTATAACGGATCAACAACCTTCAAAGTTGCAGCGGCATTTGAAACTAAAATATCCTGACTACAAAGAAAAGCCAAGAGTTCTTTGCAAATAAGAGGAGAGTTAAACAATACGAAACAAAAAATATGGAGTCTATTTTTTCACAAGGAACTCAAGTTCATAATCTTGTCCTGGCTTCTTATTCTAATTTATTGCCAAGTCCGACTGTCCACGTGTTATTGATGATAAGATATAGAAGAATACTTCCGTCGCTAAAAATTGCAGCATGTCGATTGTTCGAGAAAAAACAGCAATGTAAGTCAGTTAACGTTATCGAATAAGGCTCAGCTCACACCGAAAGAGCGTCGAAGCGCAGCGAAGAGGAGTGCAGTTTGAATTTTAACTTTATTTTCATTACTATAGTACTTTTATCGCATGAGTAAACTCAAACGAATCGCGCGGATGCCTGCGGCGCCGCGGAAATTCCTGCGAATTCCAAACGGAGCCGTGCGACTGCGCGAGAAGTCGCGGGAAGTCCCGACAATGCTCGAGCAGTCGCGAGCGACCGCTGGCAATATCCCGCCCCTCACGCCCGCTCCCCGCGCGCGTCTTTTGCGCGCGAGCATTCGCATTCATTCCTTGCAGTGTAACGAATACAGAAGTGATGGAAATTGATGAAGAAAAGCTTATTTATTTAGTGCAAATGTACGACTGCCTATACAATATCAAATCAAGGCGTTAACAACATAAACACATGAAAAATAACGCTTAGCAAAAAGTGGGCGCTGAAATGAATATGTCTGGTAAGTATGTATTTGTTTAATTATTTTTATTTGAAAATTAAAATAAACCATTTTATTAAATTTTAATTAAAATGAAAAAATATCTCTTATACAGATAGCATTTTCTCGGGAAATAGAATCCGCTTGAAGATTTTGTAATATACTATTTATTGGCACTGTTTCAATTATGTTTTCAAATATTTCATCATTTCTTAGGTAATTATGTAAACAAGTGCACGCTAGTATCATAATGTCCAGGTATTTTGGTTGCATTCTAATTCTCTTTTGGAAAACCTCAAATTTTTGTGTTAGTATTCCGAAACTGCTCTCTACAATACATCTTGCACGGCTTAGGCGATAATTAAATATTTTCTTCTCGACGTCTGTCGACATTTAGCTTTCAGGAAAAGGTCTCATTATGTGTTCATGTAGCGGGAGAGCCTCATCTCCAACAAATACATGTGGCAATGCCTCTGTCGTACCTGGCAAACATTTATTAGGTGGTATATCCAGTGTATTATTATTCAATAATTGTCCTAATCTGGAGCTGCTTAAAATGCCACTATCACTATTGCGACCGTATGCTCCAATATCGACTACAACGAATCGGTAATTTGCATCAGCTATGGCTAATAAAACTACACTGAAACATTTTTTGTAGTTATAAAATTGACTGCCGCTGTTCCAAGGTGCTCTTATATTAACATGTTTGCCATCTATGGCTCCTATACAGTTAGGAAAATTCCATTGAGTTTCAAACTCTTTTGCTAGTTTGGTCCATAGCTGAGCTGTCGGTTTTGGCATAACACGCGGCCGTAAACACTTCCATATCGCGGAGCAAGTTTCGTGAACAATTAGAAGTACAGTACAATATAATCCATTCGATACCCGTGAGCTAGCGCTTTGAAACTGATAGCAGTAGTTAAAAATGTGAAACAAAATATAATTATTATCACCAGATATAGTTACACATATCAATAAATCAAGAGAAACAGCCCCGGTAGTTTGTCTACTTTTATCCGTGTGTATATATTATTATCTAGATTATTGTAACCATCATGAAAAATTAAAATCCATAAAAACATAACAAGATTGTTATATTAATAATTATATTACTACCATTTTCAGTGGAGAATTGCCAAAAGTCTTGGAAGACATTACGATATAGTTATAGAAAGGGCATTTCATTAAGAGAGAGTAGAAATGGGTCAGCTAGAACAGTAGAACGCCCATTAAAATTTGAAAAAGAATTAGAATTCATAAAACCCTTCATGAAAAGCAGGAAACAAATTTCAAATTTAACGAGTTCGCCAGAAGATTCAGATATTACCACAGATGGCGAATATCAGTCTATGTCACCAAGACCGCAGTCGCAGCTATTACCGTCACCACGGCCACAGTCGCAGCTGTCAAACCGGACCTCTTTATCCAACGAACAGCCTCTCAAAATGTCAAATTTATTGTTCAAACAATATATTGAAGGAAAGCAAATAGAAGATGACCCAACCATTAGTTTTTTCTTAACCATGGGCCGAACTGTGAAAACAATGCCTAAAAATATTCAAGCCAAATTAAAGGGCGAAATTTCCCGCCCTATAAATGAAACGGAAATAAGACTTGCCGATGACACCGGTGATAAAATGACACGAGATACAGCTGAATTCAACTTATCTGCCACAGGAAATAATACAACCATGCCATCTTCTTCAAATTATTCATTGGAAACAACCAGTATCAGTCCTAGATCTGTGACAGAAAATTACAATGAAACAAACATTCCAACCACATCCTTTTCATACACACCATCCAAAATACCGTCAACTTCAACAAGTTATCAAGAAACGAACACAGAAAATATCTACTACAGCCGAAGAAACATTTAACTTGATTAATGATTATATCAACAAAACTAACATTGAATGGAAGATGTGTGTGGGATCGAGAAGTAATAGCGCACAAGCAATATCAGGCATTCGTACTGGGTAAAAGTTGTAGAGCCGGAATCTGTATGCGCACTGTAGGATTCATAGAGAGGTATTGGCTGTCAAGAAAATGTCTTTACCCTTCACAGCAACGATGCAAGCGTGTGTCAAGTTTATAAACTTTATAAAACCTCGTCCACTGAACTCAAGATCCTTCTCTGTTTTGTGCAAAGAAATGGTAAGTGATCACGAGCATCTTCTTTTACACTGTGAGGTGCGATGGCTCTCAAGAGGCAATGTTTTAAAAAGGCTTATTGAATTAAAATAAGAAGTAAACGTTTTTTTAGAACAACATTCCCCAACAGCCAGAGATGTAATATTTGAATACAACGACAGATTTCAAGATGTTAACCCATTCACTGCCTTCCTAAGAAACGACAACATTACCCACATGCCGCCTTATACCGGTATTCAGCCCACCCATCGGCGGGCCCGGCATCTCGATAAAGTATATTGGCCCGCCCATCGGCGGTTTTGGCATGAGGCCTTAGTTTCGACATGAGATATTTTAAACGTCTAACTTACATGTCCTGTGCGTTGTGTAGAGCGTGTTTGCGTATGTTTTTGCATAACTTTTGAAAAAATTGAGCCAGTTTCATTTGTTATTGCTGTTGTTAACCGAATTATTAATGAAGTGTGAAAGTAAGGCAATTCAGCTAATTCAATTAAGACGAAGCAAATGTATCTTAACTCGCATATAAGATAGACTTAAGGTCATATTAGTAAGAGGAAATCTAAATTGAAAAATATAAGCCTACATTATAGGGCTTTTCGAGTCATGCGTAATCAACCTTTTTGTATATTTAATTTTTGTCCCACGTCTTACCTCTTTTGCATTAACTTTGTTGAAAGCTTTTTTTTATATTTATTTATTACAATTCTCTTTCTAGACGATAAAACTAGCGTGCTCGAAATTGATAACATGAAAGAAATAAGGCAAAAAATCAAAATAAAAAAGCTTAAGAAACCCAGTAGTAGACGAACAAAAGATGCAAGTTCTCAGACTAAAGACGAGAATAACATGTCTCCATGCAAATGTAAAAAAAATGTAGCTGTTTCCACTTGACGACTATTGGAGAATGTTCCAGACGATAGGCTATTGCAGTTTTAAATGATGTTGAGATTATTGCAAATAAATACAAAGATAATTCAATTTACATTACACTTTTTGTACCGTGTGATTCTAATATTGGTTATGTAAGCTTAAAATAAATTTAAATGAATTAATAACTTTTATTTAAAAATCAACAACATCTAAACACTGCAAGTATATGAATATGTTATTATTACATACTTAGAATCATTCGTAACAATAAATAGATTTATGCCATTTGAGAAAAAAGCTCATTCATTTTCATCTATACAGGGTGGGGCAGCATAACTTCCTTATTTGTAATGCGCGCCATTCGGTCAGGTGACATCGTAGTGGAGCGCTAGTGGTCTCGTTCGAGAGGGGGGGCTATAAAGTTTAGTCGAGACAGCTCAGTCGCCATAATGCGTTGGAACAGTGAGGAGCGTGCGTTTGCTGTTGAGGCTTACTTTTCGCGCGGATGTTCTGTGATTGCAACTCAGCGCGCCTTTCGAAATCGCTTTAATTTAGCCCCGTTGGCCCCTGTTCCAGACCGAAAATCAATTGTTATGTGGGTCACTACGTTTAGACAAACTGCAAGTGTGACAAAACGAAGAACTGGAGTCCCTCGGCCCATTAGATCACCTGAGAACATTGAGGCAGTCAGAGCTTCAATGTTGCGATCACCACGGCGTTCTGCGCGCAAACATGCATCTGCCCTTGGACTTTCCAGTCGTTCTGTGCGGAGAATTCTCCATGAAGACTTACATTTCCATCCATACAAGATGGCGACTGTACAGGAACTGTCAAAACGTGACTACGATTCTCGCAGGAACGCATGTGAGATTCTTCTGGATGTCGTTCCTGAGGACGCTATTGTTTTTTTTAGTGATGAAGCACATTTTCACTTGTGTGGATCCGTGAACAAACAAAACATGCGCTACTGGGCTGACACCAATCCTCGAGAATTGCATGAAAGGCCTTTGCATTCACCTAAGGTCACAGTGTGGTGTGCAATTTCCTCAGCTGCAATTATTGGTCCCTGGTTCTTTGAGGAAAATGAAGTCACAGTAACAGTGAATCCGGGCCGGTATGTAAACATGTTACAGGAATTCTTTTTACCCCGGCTGAATGCGTTGGACTTGGGAGACATTTGGTTCCAACAAGACGGTGCAACGGCACACACTGCAAGAGCATCGATGGCTGTTTTGAGAGAACACTTCCCAGAACGCCTTATCTCAATCAGGGGCGATTTGCAGTGGCCGGCCCGATCTCCCGATTTGTCCCCTTGTGACTTTTTTCTATGGGGTTTTTTGAAATCCCGTGTTTATGTGAACCGTCCAAGGACCCTACAAGATTTAAAGAACAACATCCAGGAAGCAATTGCCAACATAACGCCTGCTCTGCTTCAAAGAGTTATGACAAACACCAGAAATCGGTATACTCAATGTATAGAGAATAAGGGACGTCATCTACCTGATTTGATCTTCAAAACTAAATAAAACAAAACTATAAGTATGTACTTACATTCTAAAAACCAAATAAAAATTTTCCGATTCATACAATGCGTTTTATTAGGTTTTAAAAAAAGGAAGTTATGCTGCCCCACCCTGTACAAGGAGTTACAAAAATAGGGGTAAAATCCTTTTAAGAAATGATTCTGTTGCTCAAATACAACAACTTTTTTTATGGGACTAACATCGGTATCTCAAAACTAAATCAAAATTTTACTGAAAGCGTCTATACAAAAGATTGGTATGCGCGAAATATTAATTCACAGATAGGAATTAGGCAGAGGACATAGTCTCAACTCGATGCACTAAGTCAAACAGTTAACGAACTTCCAAAACACTCAGCAAAACTCAAGTTGTGAAAACCACGAACGTCAAGATGCGAGTGAAAGCCTTTTTACGTAGACAATTTTTTTCTATCATAATATGCTACTTATGTTAAATCATAAATCATGCAAGTTGATTATTGGTGTCCATAACAAAAAGTATCCGCACCTTTTTTTGTTTTCAAAGTTACTATTACGGACCGGCTCCTCTTGCTGAGATACCATCTGCATTCTTATCTTGTTTCCTATTTACGGAAAGTTTATGATCTTATCTGTATTAAACCACAATCCGAAATAGGTCATTAGCCTAAATTAAATCATAAATCATACCGAAAAATTGTATATGGTCGGTGACCAAAACAAAGGTGTCGACACTTTGTCTGTTCCGTCTGCCCCTTGCATGTAGATCATCATCTGCATTCTTATATTGCTTTCTAGTTAACGACAGTGTATTGACTTATCTACAAAGTGTTACAAAAAAGCGGGGTCCCATAGAAGAAGTGGAAACACTGATCTAGAGATCTAATCTACCAAATTAACCTTCAACTGGTGACGTACCGTCGATTTGATGTCGCAACGCAAAAATCATTGTATTTCTTATAAATGGCGTGCCCCACGCGACCGCGCCCCCTAGTAGCTTCCTCGTGTGCAGTTTGGCGTCGGCCGATACACGGAACGGACTTTGCAAGCGCAAAGTTTAGTTTATAGAGGCTACTCAACGTCATTTTGACATTACTGCACCTTTATAGTAAAATTATTTTGTCCGTGCAGTTGGGGTTATAAATCATAGCTCGGCCTTAGCCCGGCTAGGGCGGTGAGCATGTTGCGCGGGCGCAACGCCATTATCGATAACAACAAATGAAATCATCGAAAGCAGGTACACGGCGGCGTGGCGGTATACAAAGGATGGTGCGACATTGTTATGTTATGAGTCATTTGTTTTCCATTATTACCCTCGCCTAATACCTGCAAATGAGTGCAATGATAATTTAGTACATATATCGAAGAGAAATTTGTTTATGCGCATTCGCTCCCTGAATTTCTTTAGTGACACAATGGCTACTCATTTGTTTTGTACCAAAACGGCGGAATTTATTCAAAATAATATTTTGCCTGTTGGCACCAATATACCAGCACAAGCACGTGTTGTTATCAACATTGTTTTAACATTTTTTACTGAAATGAAAATAAATCCCGAAAAGTTACAAAGTGTTAATTTCTGTCGTTCTCGTGAAATTGCTGCGGCGATATGTGATGTGAGTGTTAGAGCGGTCGACAAAATTAAAAGCATCCGCGAGAAAGCATCTATCGGCCTTGTACAGTAACTGCGTTAGACGACTTTGACAAAAGTGTAATTAAACAAATAGTGTCATCGTTTTATCGCGACGGTGAATATCCTTCCGCGGCTAAAATTTTGAGTACAGTAAAAGAAAGAATTGACGGATTCCAGTGTTCTATTTCTTCTATGCGTAACATACTCATAGAACTTGGGTACAAGTACACACAAGCTCCAGATGGTCGCAAACAATTGATGGAAAGGACTGACATCGTTTGTGCGCGGCTACAATTCTTAAGAAAACTCAAGACTGAGAGACAGGGAAGACACTCGACCAAGAATTTATTTAGATGAGACTTGGGTGAACCAAAATCACAGCCACAAACGAATTTGGCTAGACACGGTTGGACAAGGCGGCTTAAACACAAAAACGGGAAAGGGGTGCAGACTAATTGGTAAATATTCTTTCATCTTTTATGTGAGAAATACAACTTAATAATAATTTAATACAAAATATGATATTCATTTAATTATGTTGTTTCAGTTTGTCGTGCAGGTGCGCAAAATATGGTTTTATACCCGAAGCCAGGTGGGTATTCCGTGCTGTGAAGTCTCAGAACGAGGACTACCATTCAGAAATGAATGCCGAAGGCTTCACAGACTGGTTAACAAAGCTGCTGCAGTATTGAAGAACCATCAGTCATCATAATGGACAACGCACCCTACCACTCCCAGCAAATAAATCGGGCACCGACATCAGCTAAAAAAAATTCAGGAGTGGCTCCGCCAACACGGGATTGAGTTTAGTGATAGTGAGCTCAAGCCGGAACAAAAGGTATTTCAGATTTTATTATTTAAAGTTTGCAATACATTTGTTTTCTTTTAAGTATTTACTTGAATATACAAACAACATTATATTTACAGGTGCAACGGAACCAACCAAAAAAAAAATATGCAATTTGGATCAGTTAGCTTTGGATTCAGGACACGAAGTGATTCGCTTACCACTTTACCATTGCCAATATAACCCAATTTAGTTGGTATAGGCTCAAGCAAAAATGAAATTGCCATCAAAAACAGCACTTTTAAAACTGCAGACGTCGAAGTGTTACTACATGAACCAATTTCAAACGTTTCGCAAAAGAACTGGTAAGATTGTGTGAAGCATCTTACCAGTTCTTTTGCGAAACAACCAAAAGGAAAAACTCCAAGAGGAAGACTTGAAGAGATGACTCTGATGTAGAATTTTAATGTTATGTAAGTTTTATACTTAATTTTAGATATATTACTATCTTTATTTTTATTTTTATTTTTAATATAACTTGTTACGTTCCAAACATTTGTACTAATAGTTTTTTTTTTAATACATAGACCTAATTAATAATTTATTTTAAATCATTATTATTCTTATTTTAATAAATATGTTGTTTTATCATTTTTTTTTCATTTTTATCACTAACCCACATTATGACAAAACTAAATACACTATCGATAACGCTTATCGACAACAATAATACGCATCACTATGCTCGCCCCTAAGGCCCGTGAGTGGGAGAGAGGACGAAATATTCCGATGATTTACGACCCAAACTGCCCGGACAAAGTAATTCTAGTATAGTGTTATGTTTTAGTTGTGAGCCTCAGTCGTAAAATTTCATTCAAAATGAATCCAAATTATCAGGATTACGTGCGGCGAGTTACTGAAGTTTTGGATCAAACTGACAGTGATATATCAGTGACTAAGAGGATCGAGAGTTGGATCAAATACATGCCTTAGAATCCGACCATGACACTTCAAGTGAAATTGCCGAGTCTGAGGGTAAACAACGAGATCCAGAGATTGATAGCGACTCCGACGATGAGCCTTTGATCAACATAGCAAGTAGCAGACCATTCTATTGAGGGGAAAAAAGTTGGACATAGCCAACCGTTCAAGTGGTATAAATATCCGCAAAGAAGCAATGTCAGAACTCCAAGCTATAATATTGATACAGTTCAAGGCACAAATATGATGCGTGGTTGTACTGAAGAAGAAGACTTCTGGAATATTTGGTTCTTTGAAGATATTTTTTTCAGATAGTCATTCAACATAAAAAATTACAAGTTACGAGTTATAAATACAAGAAGGAAGATCGGCCCGAATTGAAAGACACACGAGCACTCATAGTATGCCAGCTTTTGACTGCTATTTTCAAAAACAATAAAGAAGATACTGAGTTTTTGTTTGCCACAGATGTAAAAGGAAGGGAAATATTTCGATGTATTTCTTTCGCAAAAACGTTTTCTTCTGTCACTAGCAGCATTACGTTTCGATAATCACAATACCAGAGAAGACAAAAAGAAAAATGATCACGTTACATATATATCAGAGTTCGAGGTTCTTACATGTGTATTGACGAAATGCTTGTCGGATGACGTAGTCGCTGCAAATTTCCTATGTATATGCCGAAGAAATCGGGCAAATATGGTGTGAAGCTGATGTGCATGACTGACGCTTTGAGCAATCACCTCTACAATGCTTATATGTACTGCGGAAAAGATACGGATGGACAGGGATTGACGCATGAAGAAAAGGAATACTGGAAACCTACACAGAGCATTTTACGGCTGACGAAACCTATAGAAAAATCCAAGCGAAATGTAGCCGGAGACAATTGGTTTACATCAATCGAAGCAATGAAGCTTTTGAAGGAAAAGGGGTCTTCCTTATGTGGGTACTATAAACAACTATAAACAAGAATAAAAGAGAAATCACACCCCCTCCCCCTCGAATTCAACCCTAAGACACTCTTTTAACGTTTTGCAAAGGAAATAACTGTGGTTTCTTATATACCCAAACGTAACAGAGCAGTTCTTGTTTCGTCCATGGAGACAAGTGTAACGACGATCAAGAAGTTAAAAAACCAGAAATACTATTGTTTTATAATAACACGAAAAATGGTGTTGATGGTCTGGACAAAATGTGCAGTTTCTATTCTTATTGTATTCGAAGAACGAAACGATGGCCAATTGTTCTTTTTTACGGGTTATTCGATATTTGTGCAGTAAATTCATATGTACTGTACAAGTTGTACAAGTACAAATACCCTCAAAATGCTAAAAATGTTGACAGATACACGTTTTTATGTACAGTAGCCTATCAAATTTGCAAGCTACACATGTTGCACCGGTGTAACAATCAAAAAATTTCTTGAGACATACGCGCCTCTATCAAACGAATCTTGAGCACAGAAGATGCAGAACCTGAACCCCGAAAAACGTGGGACATGTACAATATGTCCAGCAAAGAAAAAAAAGAATGTCATACTTATGCAAGTTCAGAAAACCAACCCAGATTGTCTTGAGAAAATTTGTGTCAATTGTTACCAGGCATAATTTAAATTTCTTGTATGGACCCAATACACTAAAATATTTATTAAATAATTACCTAACCCTTAGAGAATAATGTTGATTTTGTATTTCTTTTGAGTTTTTTTTAATTTTATAATAATTGATCCCATACCTACCAAAACACAAACTAAAATTTCGTTATAAGTTCATGTGTATGATTAATTTTTCATTTAATCCGTCAAAAAGGTGTTTTATTTTAAAATTAACCCTTAAATGCAAAGTTGCCAATTGTCTACATTTATTTTCACGTTATTTTATTCAAAAACCTCGAGTCCCTGCGTTTCCGAACGCTCGTAAATAACCATAGGCAATAAATCATTATTGAAAGAAAAAAGTTGACATTACATTTGGCGGGTAAGTTACTCGTTTTTTGACATTTGAATGTGGTGGGTGATGAAGTTCAGTGTGTTACTAGAAGAAATAGTTTCTACTGTCGAGTTCCTAATAAAAAAGTGATTCTTCTTATTCTAAAAAAATTACTTCTAATTTGTTATCAGGTAAGCTATCAATGTTTGATGTTGTATTTGAAAGTTATATTAGATACAAGACAGATTTTTGGAAATTACTGTATGTTGCCAAATGTCTACATTATGCGTTTGTTTCATAAATAATTATAAGAGAGTGTTTTTGGCGTCTGGGTCTTTTAACGTAGTTTGATTTGCTTTATAGGATCTCTAGACAGCTAAAAGATGACGATATTGAGGATTTACTTGCACGAATAGAAAATGGAGACATTTCTGAAGACGAAGAGGATATGGGTGATATGAACGAAATTGATTATCACCCGGACCTACAAGATCTAATAAACGAATTAGAGGTCAGTAATGATGACGATGAAGAATACAATGAAAATCCACCTTCGAACCGGTTGGATCACTTCAATAGTCCAGCTCCAGGACCTTCGAATTGTCAACCACATTCAAGCCTTCTTGGTGTTGCAGCGTGGAGGCAACAAAGTAGAGAACTTATATGGAAAAATCGTAATTTGCAATACAGTGAAGAACGTATACGTTTCACAGGAAATACAGACCTTTCCCCTCCACTAGCCGCGCTTGAAACACCATTCCAATTTTTCTCCGAATTTATGAATGAGGATATACTCACTGTTATTGTGGAACAAACAAGTTTATACATCACGCAAAAAAATGTATCCAACTGTCCTCCTGTAACTGCTACTGAAATCCGTCAATTTCTAGGTATCATCATATTTATGTCCGTGTACCATCACCCAAATGTTAGATCCTACTGGGGTATATATGGCTTCGATCATATACGACAGACCATGACGGTAAATAGATTTGAGAAAATAAGATCAGTAATACATTTCAATGATAATGCACAGCACAAACCGATTGGACACCCAAACCATGATCGTCTTCATAAAATAAGACCTGTTGTAGTACATTTGAACAAATTGTTCGTGAGTGTCACCATTTGACCAAAGGCTCTCTCTAGATGAGCAAATGTGTTCGACTAAGGTAGCTCATTTTATGAAGCAATATTTACCCAACAAACCCCATAAATGGGGTTTAAAGTTGTTTGTTTTGTGTTCACTCTTTGGATATGCTTATAGTTTTGAAATATATTCTGGTAAACAAAATGTTGACAACTTATCTGATGAACCTGATATTGGTGTAGTCGGTATTACAGTGATTAGATTGTGCCGTTCAATTCCACGAAAAATTAACCATTTCCTATATTTCGACAATTTCTATACATCCGTTCCTTTACTGTATTACCTATGGACTCAAGGAATATATGCATTGGGTATTATTCAACGTAACCGCCTCGGAAAGAATTGCAAATTGCCAGGTGTAAAAGATTTTATGAAAGATTCTATAGTACGAGGAACATATGAGGAACAAGTAGCTGATTATGAAGGCCTTGATATCTCGGTAACATGCTGGAAAGATAATAAGGTTGTCATATTAGCGTTAACTTATGTGGGCTCCGAACCAGCCGAAACTGTGAATAGATACGACAAGAAACAAAAGAAACAAATTTCCATAGCTTGTCCAAAAATAGTCAAAGATTATAACGTCCATATGGGAGGAGTTGACCTCATGGATAGTTTTTTGGGTAGGTATAAAATCAGAATAAAAAGTCGCAAGTGGTATATTAGATTATTTTATCACATGGTTGATATGGCAGTGATCAATTCTTGGATACTGTATAAGAAAAAAAACCCAAACCTTACCTTAGGAGATTACAGATCTGAACTTGCAGAGACTTTATGCTCCTATAAAAAGTACGATACAAATAAAAGAGGAAGACCCTCAAGCAATAATGTAGAAAGGCAGATCGAAGCTAAAAAACACCGAGGTCCCGCTAAACCTGTCCCGCCAAAAGATATCCGGACTGATGGTATAGGCCATAAAGAAAAAAGGTGCAGCGCTAAAAATAGATGCAAACTTCCAGGTTGTAAAGGATTTTCACGGACTGAGTGCGTCAAATGCAAGGTTGCTTTATGTCATAACAAAATCGTAATTGCTTTGCTGTATTTCATTCATAAATAATAAGGAAATTCCTATACTAATGAATAAAATTATAATATGACTATTTGCTTACGTCTACAGTAATTTTATCAACAAACGCATATTGTTGCCAAAAGTCTACATAGTATTTTTTTCAAAATAAATATTCTATATTATGAGCTGGATTTTTTTTATTATTTTTTACGTAACCTGTGACTAATTTCCTATCATACACTATTTTTTTTAGTTCAAAACAAATAATCATGCATTTAAGGGTTAAACAAACCTAATTTTATAAAACATGGCTTTGTATTAATACGTCATATTGACGTCACCTCTCCAATACTGTGACTCGTATGCACGTCACCAGACGAAGGTTAAGTGGAAATATAAATGTTTGGGGTATGTTCCAAAATAGAACCTAGTGTACTGTCCAATGCAAATGACGTCACGAACCAACGCTATACTGGTGATTCGGCCCAAAACATAGGACAGCACATGACGTCATACATTTGCGCCATATTGGAAAAGTGTTCCCGATTATTTTGTCATTTTGTGCTCCAAAGATCATTATATCCTCCTAATGGAGATAGATACCAGCAATTATTCTATAACTTATATAATAAATAAAAACAAATTTTGGCGTGCTTCATTCAGCGTACACACAATTAAAAATTGTTTTATTATGGTCGGATATCTGACACAATATGGCGGCGGCACGCCAGTACAATATGGCGACAATTGATGACATCATTTGTATTCGGCAGTATACTGGAAACGTTTCGGAACGTACCCAAAGAATTTTGAACATCCAATTGCGACTTAACTGATTGATAAAAAACATATCATTCTTTTTTATTTTCTAAAAACCCATTCTGTCCGAATAATGGTATTGTATAGATAAAAAATCAAGTATTTTTTGTACCAAATTATGGTTCAAATAATTAAATTTGTCGGCTTCTATACTTTGATAGCTATTCACGTCAACCGAGACCAACATTGTATAAAAAACATCAGACTAGTGTCACATTATTATACTTCTATAGTATTTTTATTCTTCTGTGGTCTATACTATGGAGTGTAGAAGTAGGGAGTACAGATTGTGTATTAAAAAGTGTCCACAGAAAACCGTTAAATAAGGGTGGCGCCACTGTAGCTACGGGCTAAATTTTAAAGAACGTGCCGAAAAATATTAGTGGGATAGACGACTTTTTCGAGGTTATATTTACTAAATAAAATTATTTTAGATTTTAGAGCTACTTAGCAGTTCAGCAGCACACTTCAAACCGTCGACAACTGCTAAGTTCATTTCATCCCAGTAGCTAGTCCAGCGCTGTTGTGGAGAGTTTTTGAACTGTTATTTACTGCTTACAGATGGCCACTTTTTCAACGGTTCTACTATATATCTATCTATACTCTCTGTCAAGTGTCAAATCGCATGACGTACTAAGTTTTATTCACTCCGCCGTTAGTTGTTCCTCTTGCGTGAATGTATGTTTTCCAGTGTATTATTATTGCTTTTATCGTGCCCAGAAATACTTGGGCACTCGGATTTTCTTACAGTTTCGGAGATTCTTACAGTTATTATAAGAGACAACCCCGCTACCCCCCTCCTCCTCCTACCTCCTGCAGGAGATGAATAAATGATATTATTTTGAGGTTAGGTCTATGGGAAGTTCTTTTTGATTTTTCTCAAGAACGGTGTATTACCTTTTGATGGGAGTGGTGTCCGGGGTTAGGGGACACTCCCCCCCTCTTCCCTCTTCCCTCCACATCACATGCGCCCTTTTGCCAAGCGATTCTTAATTTTAACCGACCTAGGTAATAGGAAACACCGTATACTGTAGTCTATCTCATTCTCTCGCAAGCTAAATCCTATAGATGTATATATTTGTCTCCTTTTAATGTCGCTATTTTGTTTCATCAAATTTCAAAAACACGATGATTCTAAAGTTTTCACATTAAAAATAATACAATACATACATACATAATTATTTATATAATATATACATACACAAAAATAGATTTTTTATTTTATTCTTTTTAATAAAATATTTTTAACAGATTTATTGAAAAAAGCTCGGCCGGACTCCATTAATGCGATAACTTTGATGGGAATTATGGATGGCATTATTTTTTTAACGTTAGATTCCGTCGCATTATATAATTAAATAAGTATCGATTATAAGGCAACGTCTTTATGCATTAATATCTTAGTTTCGATTACAAAATATTATCATAATAAAAAATTTGCTTACAAGCGCTTATAAGCAAAATGGCTAAACTAAACAGTTTTCGGCCAGGACACGTTTGCTAAGTTCAGTAGCGCTGACACAATCCGCCATTTTGCTTATTTAATTTGTTTGTTTTGAAGTAGAGTTTATAAGTTGTTTTGTGCAATATTAGTTTTAAGTAATATAATGACATGAATAAACATATACATGTTATTAAAAATTCATGATTGGTAAGTTTTTAATATGAATACTTTACAAACATATATTTAAATTAGGTTAGGTTCCCCGGTTAAAACTAACTTAGTGTCCTGGAGGAAAATAGCTACTTACGATTTGACAGCGCTTGCAGCTTACGATCGCCATTTTGCTTACAAGCGCTTGCTAACGTTTTTTTTCTGCCAAACGCACCCAATAACATAGTGATTTCCACTGGCAAGCGATTCCCAACATAGTTATATGATCGCATTGCAACAGGCCTATTCCTTGTTGATATCAAAATGATAGTAACTTTGTAGTAACATCGTGGTTATTTTATAGAATAAAGGTGACAAACGAGCACAAAGTCCACCTGATAGTAAGTGGATGCTACGTTTATCCTCATTTAAAAACCAAAGTACATTTTTTTTATTAACTGGCTTTACGGCTCTGGGATCTAGCCCTTCTGAGCCTATCATTTCTTTCGGAATTGATCGAATGCGCCACATTGCGAAGCCCTTGGGAGATTTTGACGACAGCTCAACCCAGCGGACAGTTGATGACGACAGCCACTCAAGTCCATAAGGCGCCCAAGCGATCAAAATAACTTGAGGTTTATATCGACATCAAAGCACTTGTTTCGTCGTTTTCTCTAATAGTTCACACGCGCGGACACTTAATTCACAAAATCGCATCACTTTTACGAATCAACATCCACTTCAAACCATTATTCAAGCGACAAAGCAGGAGCGACCATCCGTCTACGGCTAAGTTCCCGCCAAAACTCAACCAAAGTGCAGATCCATTGTCACCCTTGAGGACTAAGTTAGTATGCCTCGGCTCCAGTAAAAAGTCTATGGTTCTCTACACTCACCATACGAAGCACAGGCATTAGGCTGCTATTTCACGCTGGTATTCTTTGAGTGCGTGATCCTTCCCCGGTCGAGCCGATCCATAGTTAGAACCATAACATAGATGCAGCGTGGCTCTACCACTTCTTTTCCATTTTACGTGGTAGAGCCATGCTGCAGTTATATTAGTAGTATAGTTGTAGCACGAATGGGTCGGCTCGACCGGGGAAGGACAACGCTCTCACGGAATACCAGCGTCAAGTAGTAGCTTAATGCTGCTACGTTTAGTATGGAGAGTGTAGAGAACCGGAGAACCTTTTTACTGGATACGAGGCATTCCATCTTAGCCCTCAGGGATGATAACGCATCTGCGTTTTGATTCTTGATCGAGGATAGATGTAGATGTCTATGGGCTACAGCAACCACTTACCATCAGGTGGACTGTGTGCTCGTTTGTCATCCTATCCTATAAAATAAAAAAAATACGTAGCTTTTTTATAAATGCTAACAAAGTTTAAAAAACGTACAACGTAATTTACTTTAAAGTGACACACGTCATAATGTACTACAAAGTGACTACACTTTTAATGTCAACAAAGTTCGCGTTAAGACCCGCATTTCGAGATTTCCCGCTATAAGAAATAGGAAACGATAGACATTTTCGTACAACTCATTCGTCACTAGCCAAGGCGGCAAACTTATTAGCGACAGCGGTTTGCTCCTCACTGTCGCTCTCATCTTCGGAGTCCGATCCGGACTGTTCGGAACTCTGTCGTCCGGAATCGTGACGTCCGGATCCGGAATGTCCGGAGTCGTCCGACTGCACGTCCGACTCCTCGCCTTCGACATATGTGAGCGCTTGAACCCATTTTACGTACTTTATCTCTTCGCAGGTCTCGTATTTTTCTGTGAAAGAAAATTTAGTGCTGAAAAATACTTTCGGCATAGGTGCCTCTGAAATTTGGGGGTAATCATTATAATTTTCACAAATGAATAAGAGATCGCAAAACTCCAGTCGTACTTCATCAGATCGTCACTTCATATAGTAAGGAGTTCGCCCAACACTGCTCTTGCCAGCAAGAGATCGAATAGAGAACCTTTCTTCTAGTATCAGCTTTAAGCTATATGGATACGGTAGACCAGATTTACACTTCGACAAGTACAGTAGCGATCTTAGTTACAGAGCATTTAATTGATAGAATCAGGCGTTACTTTGCGGAAATCCATTATAGTAAAGATATTAATAGTTATTTTGAAACCGTTTGCTAAACGGTCACTTAGCGGTCAGCCGCCGTAGAGTCAACATCACCTGAAGATGCCTCGTGTAGAGGCGAAACACGTGTCGTATTATCGTCGATGGTGTGTCTTTCCTGGAATAATAGTGTTGGGAGTAGTGGTGCCGGGAGTAGTGGTGTTGGAAGTAGTGGTTCTGGGATTAGTGGTGACGGGGATAGTGCACGCAATTGAGGGAGGGCGGGAGGTGCGCTTCAAACTAGTAACTATTAATATCTTTATTACAGGGCAGTTGTCAGTAAACGGTTAGGTGGACAGTAGCGTTCAAATGTCTTCGTGGCGAGTTTAGTTAAAAAGGAACAATTTTACATTTTGGGGTCGAACGCAAACACGTTGCGTCCTGTCAACTTATACACTGAACTAAACTCGCTCGATCACACGTGCGAGGGAGGGCAACACTTCGAAATTAACTCGCCGAGAAATAGCCCGGCTGGCTATCCCGTTTTACTTAATTGTTAACTTGCTACTTAACTTATTAATTGCCGTTCAAATAAGATTTTCTAATTAACTCGTCAGATTTGTAATTTAACCTCTCAACCCCCTAGCGGTCTCACGAGACCGCGGCCATATTCCGTCAAATCCCTAGCGGTGTCATGAGGTCGCACCCACTCACAGCACTTTAACCCATAAAAATTTATATCTAGAGACTATTTTTCTATGAAAAAGTTTGGCATTATATAATAAATATGAAATATTCTATTTCTAGTGCAGTGGTGGGCAAACTTTTTTAATGGCGGGCCACAAAGTATAAGAAATTCTAAAGGAGGGCCAGAATCATAGAAAAAATGCATTTTGTGTTAAATAAATCTTTTACTCAACCGTTAAAACGTATAGTCCGTTCGCGTTAAGAAAATAGTGAGTCATCAGTGCAACTACAGGGTAAAGGTGTATTCACAGTGGAGTAAAAATTCTTTTTTTTTTCAAAGATTTAATTAAGTTTAATGGAAACAAATTTTCTTAAAATTACTTTAATCACTAATCAGTATCGCTAGATTCTCCGGTTACATTAATTATGAAAGAATTTTGTTCTGCAAGTTCCATGATGTCATCCAAATTCCACATGGTATTTTCTTCGCGTATCACGCACTTCTTCCAACGATTAGCGTCTATTAATCCTATTGCGTCATCTAATAATTTTGAACGTGGAGTTATTGGCACCAACATAATTTTTTATTTGGGCCCAAATCAATTCAATTGGATTAAGTTTGCAATGGTAAGACGGTAGGCGAATAATTGTAATGCCATTACTTTTGGCAGTTTCATCTATTAAATATTTATTATATTGTGGGGAATCATTGCGAACCTCCCGATCCCGGAAGGGTTCGCAATGATTCCTTTTCCTTATCCATTAACATTGATAATGTAGAACTAATTAACCGTAAACGTGCCCAAGTAACGAGTCTGCCCATCTACAAAAAGTAGTTATTACTGATCCAAATCAACAGTTTCCTTCAATACAATCCTCATATACCCATCCTGATTTTATTAATAAAAAAATTAAGTACTCTCAAGATGATGCCGCTCCTTTTCTAGTTCACGTAAGTAAAATCTCAAATGATCAGTTGTCTGGAGTAACTCTTAAACCAATTAAATTCGGTCACTTTCTGTATCATAACAATATTAAAAATATAGTTCATGATGAAGTCAAAAAAGTTGGACGAAATAGAATATCAGTGGAAATAAAACAACAGCAGATGCAAACACCTTTATTGATCACCCAGCTCTCCAAATTTCTAAATATGAAGCAACCATCCCCTCATATAGCATCACTCGTATGGGGCTAGTTAGACAAGTTCCCATAGAGTGGACACTAGAAGAATTAATAGCAGCTATAGAAATTCCTTCTGGCTACGGTTCTATAATTAAAGCACGGCGACTTAATAGACGATCAGTGAGTGACAGCAATAGCGTTTCATGGGTTCCAACTCAGACGGTTGTTCTAACTTTTTCTGGACAAAAACTTCCTCCCCATATTTACTGTTTTTACACCTCAATGCCAGTGGAAAAATATGTTTTGCCACTAATTCAGTGTCATAAATGTTGTAGATTTGGCCATGTTACTTCCCAGTGCCGATCATCCCCTCGCTGCTTTGTGTGTGCACAGAATCATGAAGGTTTATCTTATACTCGACAAACTCCTACTTGCCTATTCTGCTCAGGTCCCCACACCGCAAAAGACCCTACGTGTCCTGAACATCTAAGGCAAAAATCTATTAAACTTGTTATGTCACAAGAAAATATTTCATATTTAGAAGCTTCAGCTAGATTCCCTCAGACAAAAAGATCCTTTGCTGATACAACAAGAATCCAGCCTCGTAATTGTTCTCAACAGACCCCTTATACTATAACTGACAGTCTTTCAGCCCCTTCGGCTCAGCTCTCACAAACTGCATTATATAAAAAAACAATTTTTATCCCTCAACGTACCTGCAGCCAATCATTAAATTCCGGATATGATATGGCAGCCCATCAGGCAATTGTGGAGAATCCTAATTCTTCCCTTCCTAATGGGTGTGCTCTACTGGGAAATGACAACAACTCCTCTAGAAATGATAATTTCTGCGAACTTATGATATCAATGCTAATTAACATGATCTCCCGTTTTAGTGACACGGAACTTCCTCTCAGCTTACACCAAAAACTTACTCAGCTTTCCTCCTTAGCGCGTAACATTCGCAGTCCCACTAATTCTTCAATGGAATTGTCGGAGCATTAGAAATAAAAAAATGAACTCATTTACCTCATTAATAAACTTCATCCCTTCATTCTTGCCATCCAGGAGACATGGCTTAGGCCTGAGTCTCATTTTAGGGTTTCAGGCTACGCATGCCTCCGGGATGATAGGAGTGATGGTCGTGCTGGCGCCTCTATTTTAATTTCAAGAACAGTTACATTTTCACAAATTCCTCTCCCTCCTCATAGTCCAGCAGTAAATGCTGTTGCTATTAAGACCCTTGATGTCTCTACTCTCTCTGTTTACATTCCTAATCCTAATGTAAATATTTTAACAGAACTTGCAACACTTATTTCTTCTCTGTCACCTTCTATGGTTATTTTGGGAAATTTTAATATGCATCATACAGTTTGGGGCTCCATTCTGTGTGATTCACTGGCTTCCTTATTTTTAGATCTTATTGATAATTTTAATCTCTGTATTCTAAATGATGGGTCTCCTACCCGTCGAGTATCGCCATTACAAAATGTTAGAAGTGCCGTTGACCTAACTCTCTGTTCCCCAGATATTGCTTCCCTTCTTTTGTGGCAAATATTACCTTCTAGCTATGGCAGTGACCATTTTCCTATATTCATCACTCCTCCTACTTCACCTAGAATAAATTTTACATTTTGCCCAAGACTAAAGTATAATCTATCCAAAGCTAATTGGCAATTATATTCTACAGTTTTGGAACAAGAGGTTTCAACTCTTCCCCCAATTAACAATGATAATATTGGTCCTGTATATATAGAGTTCAGAAATGCAATTATTTCTGCTGCTAATAAGTCAATCCCCTTAAAAAAACCTTTCAAAAATAATTATCCTTCCCCTTTGTGGGACCAAGATTGTTCAGCAGCTTGTAGGAGAAGAAAAGAGGCTGAATTAATATACTCCCGTTCTATGACTGCAGAGAATTATATCTCCTATCAAAAAATTGCTGCAGAAACCTTAAAATTACTGTCAGACAAAATGCGAACCGGTTGGTTTAAATTCTGTGAGTCACTGTCACCTAGGACTCCCCCATCTTTGGTCTGGAGAAATGTTAAAAAATATCGCTGTGCAGTTTCTAGTGAAAATATAATTTCTAATGATCCTTGGGTGCCGTGTAGTGGCGGTTGAGAATATCCACTACCCCATATCTTCCCGTGGGTGTCGTAAGAGGCGACAGAGGGACACAAAAAGGAGATGGGCAGCAGCATCTTCCTGATAACAACTGTGATAAATAAAAAACTGCGGTTGCCAACCCGCTCGCCAAGCGTGACAACTATGGCAAATATCCCCCCATGAGTAACGACGCAAACAAACGGCCCCCAGTCCCCGGCGGCCCCGCTATTCCTGGCTACGGTGGCGACCATGGTAACGGCGGGGCAAGGGGTGCTAAGAATCTCCGGTGGAGGTTCGGTTGCCACCTACGACGACTCGACCTGGCAACATATAACGCACGCACCCTGAGGACTGACGAGAAGATACTGGAGCTGGAAGAAGAGGTAGACAAGTTGCGCTGGTATATTATTGGGTTATCCGAGGTCCGAAGAGAGGGGGAGGACACGGCAATCCTCGAGTCCGGCAACTTGTTCTATCACCGAGAGGGCGACCATCTGTCCCAATGAGGTGTCGGATTTATCGTCCACAAGTCTCTCGTCAACAACGTTGTAAAGATTAGGAATGTGTCGACGAGGGTCGCGTACCTGATACTCAGAATCACCAGACGGTATTCGCTGAAGGTCATACAGGTTTACGCACCAACCTCAGCACATCCCGATGAGGAGGTGGAGGAAATGTATGTGGATATTTCCAGAGCCATACATTCCTCCACAACCCACTACACGGTGTTGATGGGAGACTTCAACGCAAAACGAGGCACAAGAGAAAGCGGTGAGCTGAAGGTAGGGAAATT